GCGCGCAGGCGGCCGCGTCCCGGCGACAGCCCCGAGACGAGAGCGGCGCGGCGGGCTGAGGCGGCCGCGGCGGCCACTGCTCCCTGCGGCCCTCGCTGCGTCCCGGCGCTCAGGTAAGGCCGCCCCGGGCGGCGGGCCCATCGGGGAGAAGAGAAGAAAGGACGAAGCCGCGCGGGGAGGGTGCGGGAGCCGCCCTGGCCGCGCGCCGCCCTGTCACGGCGCGGCCGTTGGGACCGTTGGGCGCGCGGCTCTGAGGGGAGGCCGCCTCCCCGCGGGGCCTCGAGCATCCCTGGGCTGTGAGACCCTTCAGGGGGTGTGGGACCGTCTGCACCCGCGCCCCGAGCTCCTCTGAAGCAGCTGTGAGCGCGAACAAAGAACGGTGCGCGAGAAGGGGACGCGGCGCTTCCCGGGCACGCTGAATTGGCAGCGAGCAGGGGCGAAACCAGCGCCGCAAAACGCTGCCCCGCGCTGCACGGACTGGCCGCGCGGGGAGGCGGCGGCGGGCGGGTGCCCGCAGCGAGGCACTGGAGAACAAAGCCTGTCTACGTGAGAAAAAATTATGCGAAATGTGCCTCGCGGCACCCGCCGCAGGTACGAGCCGCGGGGCTCTGATCGCCCGGCGCCGCTCCGAGTGGCCATCTGCTCCGTGAAGATGCTCGCCTCCCGCCGCTGCGTGTGTGTCTGAGCTTCCCATTCCAGAGCTACGCGATGCGCCCTGCGAAGCGGCTCGGGGAAGGAAGGGGGTGTGTTGTGTGCTGGGAGAGACGCTTTCTGCGTTGAAAACACTGAATAATTTATTCCTCTATGCTAAGCAGGAATTCTTAGTTTCCCCTTGAATAAAGATGGTCTCTGCTTTGTTGCTGGGATCTTGCAGAGGGCTCCTGGTTAAAAAGTAGCAGACTTTTACATACAAGTGGTTATTAACAGCAAGTCATGCGGTAGGATAGGATAGAGATATTGGATCTCTGTAAACCTTTCTGTTCAGGTGTGTCATCAACGCATCTTTATGGCTGCGACAAGATCTTTTTCCTCGGAAACATTGCTACTACCCAGCATTCAGAAAACATGTCCCTTTTAAGAAAGCTTTTAGTTTTGGAAGACTGAAGGGCATATCCTTTCCTTACCATTCCATTTCTTCCCTCTCATCCCCAAGCCTTTGTTTTTTTCCCATCAGCAGACATGTTTCATTCACCTGTGCTGGTTTGGACTTGCAGGGGTGTCTAGATGACAGATCTCAGAGCCAATGCATCCAAGAGGAGGTTTAGCTGCAGGATTTATTTGTTTTCTATAGCTCCTCTCTGTTCCCTCCCTCCTGGATGACGCGATCGCAGCATCTCAGCCCTTCTTTGCACAAGAAAGAGAGGGAGAATGTGCTGAGGGAGGTTTACCTGGGGAAATGGGCCCTGCTCTTACTTCACTTGAAGTGATTCAGAAGCAATGAGGGAATGGACATCCACCCTGTGCTGGTAAATGTTCTCTTCAGTTAGTGTGGAGACAGACCAGTTTGTCAATAGGCTTCTATTTCTGCTCTTGATGTTCCGAAGTTGTAATACATGAAATAGAGCACGAAACCAAAACCTGCTTCCTGGATTTAAGTACCACTGAATTCCTTGCTGAGTTTTTTGCTGCACCTGTTAGTGATAATGCTCTCAGCAGGGGGTAGGACCCAAAGTTTAATCTCATACTAGTGTGCTGCGACTGAAGGCCACAACCCTGCAGAGCTTCACAGTGGAGCTGAAGTTTGCCCATTGAAAATAGTCCCCTTGGCTTGCTGAGATTCCTCATGGTTTTGAAGTGCTAAGCCTGTAAGTGGACCCTTGATTTTGAGAGATTTGATGTAATTTTTATGGCACATTAAGTCAGTACCTATTCAGCTCTGGCTATTTAAATACATTCTGACGATAAAGAAATAGCCATTATTTAATGACTGACCCCTGAGGTGGGATGTGTGGGCGTGAGTGATCATAATAGGGCCTAAATGAGTAGCCACAGTCAGAGGGTTAAGAATTGCCCTGTTGCTGGATGATTTTTTTGGATTTTCTTTTTGCCTGTCTGCCTGTGTTATGCCTTTCTTTTCTCCATTACTATTTGCCAAATCACATATTTGGATTCACGAGAGGTACTGACTTCAGAGTATTTTCTGGCACCTCTAGCTCTGGCTTCATGCTTGCTTAATGACATGAACTAGTCTGAGCTGTGGAAAGCCCTGGAAATAGGTAGGTGAGACCCACTGAAGACCCTGCTGGAGCGTTTCTTGAAGTCTATATGCGTACAGAAATAAGATTATGCCTGTGTATAAACTACTGCTTGCCTAGAATTGTTCCCCAAGACTGAGCTGCATGTTTTGGTCCATTTGTATTCAGTCAGTTGCTTGAACTCATGGTTATTTGCCCTTGAAACTAGTTAGCCTTAAGTATGCTTAGAATTTAGCATATTCTGAAATGTTTTGCTGGAAAGGGGAAGATACACCTATAAATGTCAGGTATAGTTATGTGGGCTCGGTCCTGGAAAGACCTGGATGATGTCTGGCAATTTTGGGTACCTTCAAGGAAAGAATTGAAGGATTTTCCATGATGGCTTAAATCCCTCCCCAGATATGTATATGCACAGTAAAGGAGAAGAGAGGACTTGGTCTGGTTAGGAGTGGTCCTTTTCCTTTGCATCATGCCCAGGGATGTTTATTAGCAACAAATCCGTAGCGCATCTGCGCTCGTAGGAGGAAACAGCATGAGACTGATTTCCACAGGGTGGAGCTGGGTTGGGGGGGCAGTTAAACTGTGTTGGAAACTGAGGTGGTTCCTTATGTCCGATTTGGGAGAGGAAAAAACTTTTCTTTTGGGGGTAGATTGGATCACAAGTTACACTCTGAACTGTAAGACAATGTTCTAGAGTGAGATTTGAAGTGACATTTGTAATTGGAAGAAAGGACTCATGTATCCATGGGGTTAATTTAGATTGCTCTTGCCACATGGGTTGACTCTGCTAGCTGTTAAGAAGATTTCAGGTCTTGATTGACCCATTTTAATGCTAATTGTTTGCTACTTTATTAAGGGGAAAAGATGAGCTAATACTGTTCCTTCTTGTGGTTTACACTCACTGATGTTTTTCCCTATAGCAGTCTTGCAAATGACGCTGATATTTGTTCTTTGTCTTGTTTGGGGATGTGGTGGGGAGCCTTCCCCATGATTCACAATGAAAAGGAGGTAACGTTTGTGGTGTTTGTACCAAATATCTCGTATCTTTGTTAGTGTGTTATTTGAAAGGGTTTATTGTGAAAAGGTGAGATTTAGGCAACCTCAGCTGTATAAAGATTTTTAGATCTCTTTGTTTCCGTTCAGCTGTCACTGCAAGACAGATTAGCTCTGTGTATCTCGACCAATATTACAATATGCTCTTTCTTTTCTAGTATATTCCTTAAACATGCTGTTTTTCTAATTTTCCGTAGTGCAATTAGTATTTGTTTGCTTTAGCATGTGCTGATGGTCTTTCAAGCAACACATACGTTTGCATCTGCATCCTCATATAGCATGAGGGAGAAAATGGCTGTATTACAAGCCAAGAGTGTTAGGGGGAGAAAATCAATAAAACCGCATTGACTGCTTTGAATCTGCACCTGACTTGTACCATCTGGAGAAAGATAATTCCCCTTTCAGATCTGTTTACTCATTAAATCTGGAATGCTTTTCCACTTCACTGCAACAATCAGTTTATACCGTGAATTTATATTATGGATTTGTGGATAAGAGGTCAGTCCTGCTTGCAACTTCTGCTTCTTCATTTACAATTGAAAGTAATGTGTAATAGGAGCTGTGTATTCTTTGTTGTCCTTGTGTGTCGAGCCTCCTAGAAGGAATTAGGAAGAGTTTTCTAAAAGTTATTCTACTGGCTGTACTACAGTTAGGTCATAGAGTTTTCAGTGAGTTGGGTCTATGAAATCTTTGTGGAAATCATTGGTTTGCCTCTTGAGGGAGATGTAAATTGAATTTCCCATATCCATTTGCAGAACTAGCTCAATTTCTAATGTGTATCCTATCTCTAGATAAACAATACTTCGAAAAGAAAATAAAACAGCAGTCTAATCATGTCAGCTAACTTAGCAGTATTTAATTATAAGGGTTATTGATTTAATTAACCCTACGGTTTCACTTAATTTTCTGAGGAGAATACTGGTGGCTGCTTTTTGGTATGATACAAGGAGCTGTCAGTTCTGCCTTCAGCAATTATATTACCTGTTAAACAGCTGCTTTGGTTGTGGATCTTGTCCCTTTTTCTCACATTCTGTTCTTGGGTGTCATTCTGATGAGCGAGGTTAGAAAAAGCGTCAAAATGAGAATTTAGGGCTTTGTACAGGCTGAGACTACCACGGTTTTCCTTGCATTAAAGCCGAAGGCTGCTTGAGTCAGGAGAGTAGCTGAGGTGAAAGCTTTCACAGATTCAAGCCTTGGAGCAAGTTGGGTGCTGAGATGAACAGCAGAGGCTGTTCCAAGGAGAGCTGGGTGCTTTTGCAGCAGGCTGGGGAGGCGGCTCTGCTGGCAGCCAGTGCAGGGCGCGTGGGTTGCAGGGTCTCTCCTGCACCGCTCATCCCCAGTGCCCCCGGGGCTGAGCTGGTGCTGGGGATACGCTGTGGCCTGTTCCACCTGTCCCCTATTCCTTAGGGATTCCTTCTGCCTAGCTTAAGCCAGTGTGGACTGTTGCACGGAGCCTGGCCTGAAGTGTAAAGGCTTCCTCAACTTCTGGGAGGGCTCAAAGGGACTCTGAGAAGGCCTCTTTTCTGTGTCTGCAGTGAAATGAGCTGAAATGGTGTGTGTAGAATCCTTTGATTTTAATGAAATTGCCCCTGTCCAGCTCGTGCAGCTGCTTCCATGTGCTAGCCAAGGTGCGTGGGGACCCGGCTGGGTTTGAGCTACTGTAGCATGGCACTCGCACCAAGTCCCATTTGCAGGACCTGATCATTTCCTAACAAAAATTGAAGGAACGGGAAGACTTAACAGCATGCAGTTGCCTGAGGAGATTTCTGTATTGAGAGAGCCTGTTCCTGCACATTTGTGTTGGAGTTGCCCCTTATATACAGTGGTGCAGCTGGGCAAAGTTCAGGCCCAAGGAAGCTCCTCGT